TGCAGGCCTACTTTAGGAACTTCAACCTCTCTTTTTGTGATACTTACACGATCTGGGACCTGCTGCGGGAGATGGCCGGCCCGGACAGCCTGGACTGCAGCCTGGACAACCTCCTGGTGGACTTCGTGGCCGCGGCGGCCGGGGCGCTGGGCGGCGAGGCCTGTAGCAGCTGCGTCCAGGCGTACCAGAGGCTGGACCAACACGCTCAGGAAAAATACGAGGAGTTCGACCTCTTGCTGGAGAAATACTTGCAATCGGATGACTACTCGGTTAGATCCTGCATAAGAGACTGCAAGGTAGGAGGGCGTCCCGTCGCCTCCCGCGCCCGTGTGGCAGCTCCAGGCGGCCCGCGTGTTTTCCTGCGCCCGGTCCCTGTTCCTGCCCTCCTGCCTCCGGCAGCTCCGTCCTCCTCCCTGCTGCCCTGTGGACTTCCCTGCCTTCCTGGCCGCCCTGCCCGGCGCTGCTGCCCGGCCGACCCCGGCTCTGCCCAGCGGGACCCGCAGCGGTCGCACCCATGCGGAGCCGGCCGTACGTGAGGCCCCTCACCGCGGCCTCGGGCCTGCCGGGGTTAGCGCCCGGGTGCCCCGCGACCAGCCAAGGAGAGGGGACCCCTGCGCACCCCCCGGCTCTGCCCCTGCAGCCGGTGCTGGAGCAGGAGGGTGCCGCGGGGCTGGGCGAGCAGGGGGAGCCCCCCGGGTGTCCCTGTCCACCCCCCGGCACCAGCAGGTCCCTGCGTGGAGGCTCCCAGTGACTGGGCCGGACGCGCTGCCCTGGCTGGGTCTGGAGCCCCGGGAGCAGCGCACGGAGCAGGGCACCCTGCAGGAGCCCGGGCGCCCGGCCCAGCCTCGAGGCGTTAAACCGCTCAGCCCGGCACCTGGGTGCCGGGCGTTAAACAACTGTCCTGTCCAGTGCGGTGGCAGGGCCGGCCTTGCGGAGCCGTCCTTCCCCAGCCCAGATGCCGAGTTTTATCCCGGCCCCGTGCTCCTCGGGGGTATCTGYCTGGCTCCCCGATGCAGTCGCCCTGGGAATGTTGTCTCCAGGGAGTGTAATGATGTTCCCATGGAACCCGTGTCCCCTTCCCRAGCAGCGTGTGGCTTGGGTAGCACCAGCAGCGCCCGGCCTTACTGGGAGGATGCAGAGGGAAGCGGCTGCGGGTGCCCATCCCCATCCCCATGGGCAGGATCCCGCCCGTGACCGGGGCGCCGCGCCGCTCTGCAAGGCCCCTTTCCCCACGGAGCCAGGTCAGCTCTTCGGGAGCTGCCTGCCCCAGCACCCTGCGGTTGCAGGGCACAGGCTGCACTGTGCGGGTCGCTGCCCTGCACGGTGGCACCGTGGCCGGCCGCAGGAGCTCTGGACGGCCGCCGCGACAATGACGCCGGCCCCGTGTCCTGCCGGGCTGCGTCCTGCGCGTGCAGGGGATGTYGGACTCGTGTCCCCAGAGTCACCTGCCGGGCAGGGTTGGCGGAGGGCAGGGGAGGTGGCAGGGCTGTGGCGAGGCCACGTGCGTGGCCGCCCTGCCAGGCCAGGTAAAGCTTGGTGTCCAGTCTACATGCACTCGGTGGCTCTTCAGAAGATCCACGATGCTCCATCACAAGAGACCAGGTTTACGGGGGCTGAGAGAGGAAGAGCGCGGSGTGACGGGCCCGAAGCCCTCGTCACATCCCGCACCGGGGGCCGTGCTGGGCTGCCCCTCTGCAGGTGACACCGGGGGTGTCGGGAGGTGCGCGTCCGGCGGGACACGCAGCTGGAGGCAGCGGTGCGGTGTCCGCGTGTCCTGCATGCCCCRGGAGCTCCCGCTGGAAGCATCTAGAAGCAGAGCCCTGCTCCCACGTGTCCGCCCTGGGCTCCGCGCGCTCCTCGGGGCTGCTGGGCACAGACGTGGCGCTCGCAGCAGCAGCAGCAGTGCCCGGCTCGCAGCTCYCAGCGGCCGCGCTGCCGCCTTCGCAGCCGTGCCAGGGAGCACCCGCGGGCCCTGCCGGGAGGAGCCCACTCGGCTTCCCCAGCCCGGCATTCCCACCAGGCCCGCGCACCGGGGCACTGGGGGCTCCCGCTCTGCTCAGCACCTTGGCAAAGCCAGGCCATGTAGTTAAGGTGCTCCCGAGCTTCTGTATGTGCCTTACTTGAGGCTCGCGCCGTTGCCGGTCTGGACTTTGCCCTCGTGGCCACTGTTCCCCATTTGCGAAACGAGGCTAATAGCAAATTCGCCCAGTGTTGTGGCGAGCAGTGAATCCTGGCCTGATTTCCRAGCACCTGTGACTCCTGCAGACTTCGGCAGGGGCTGTCCTCACTCGCTGCTCTGGAAAAGTGGGTTGCTGGTGAGTTTGAAGCAACCTGAATCTGCTAAGTCCTCTCCAAATGCTGAATAATCCTGCATTTCGAATGCTGCCGTGGCTGCGTGCTGCTCCTGTGAGCACCTGCTGTCAGCAGCGGCAGAGCAGCACAGAGCAACATGGTGCAGAGAGCGGAAGAGAAGCGGCCCTCGTCAGAGCAAGAAACGGGCGGCTGAGCCCGCGTGTGGCTCCCGCGGGAGCCCCGGAGGGGCCCAGCAGCCGTGCGGCGCTCAGGGCTTTGGTGCCGAATGGACGGGGCGAGGGCACGAGCAGGGAGCTCCGGGACCCGCTCCGGGCGGCACCTTCCCGAGCTGCTGCTTTAGCGGGAGCCTGGGGCAGGGACCCCGGCATGGGGTAGCAAAGAGCCCAACCTCCCCCCCAGTCCAGATCCTTCCTCTTCCCTGGATAAAAGACGGGAAGTCGCTGGCTGGGAAGCGACGCGCTCCCAGCCCTCCCGCACATGTCCTGCAGCAACGGGTGCTTGGGCAGAGCCACCCGCGCCACCGGTAATGAGTCCCCCAGGAGCAGCACAGCTCGGTAAACACGACGAGCGCTGGAGCTCTTCGGCAGCCAGACCGTCCCCGGGGTGGTTGGTCCGCGTTGCATCTGTTTCCAAACAGGAGCAGGAGCCGCGCGGAGCAGCCTGTTGCTTTGGGAGCTCTGCCCCAGCTGCGGGCTCTGCGGGCKCTGCCGTTTGTTGGCTGTTTGCTGTTGGTTTGGTGGGGACAACCCCGCGGTGCCCTGTTAATAAATCAGCCTTGGCCCCCTGCTTTCCAGGTGCTCTGTGACCAGGCTGCATGAGCAGAGCTGGGCTCGGGCTGTGCCCGGCTGAGGAGAAGCTGCTGGAACCAAGCGGCCCTGGGGATGCTGGAGTGATGGAGCACCAGGCGCTGGGAAAGTCGCAGGTCTTTCCCGGAGCTGGGAGCGCAGCGGGCAGGGCAGGGCAGGCAAAATCCCTCACCAGACCCTGCRTAAGGGAGAAACTCCTCGGGATGATGGGGTCCTGTGGAAGCAACCCAGCTGCTTAGACCACCCGTTGCTGTAATAGTCCTTAGACCTTATTTTCCTGCTTGGAAGTAATTCCCGGGCAGCTCCGTTCCTGCACGCATCATTGCTATTCCAGCGCAGCACCATTAGCTTCTGAAAGCGCTTTGCTTACTGCTCCTGTAGCTAACACAAAATACCCTGTGTAGCCGAAAGACAGCAAAGCACAGAAGCGCATCTGGGCTTCGTGTTCGGCTGGGCTTCATGTTCGGTTGGGTTTTGTGTTCGGCTGGGCTTCGTGTTCGCTTGCCCCTCACCTTGCAGGGGTTGCGGGGGTCCCTGCGGTTCCGCCGGGCTGCCCCATGGCCCTGCTGTCCTCGCTGCGTTTGGGACGGCGGCCCAGGCAGCTTCTGCTTCATGCGGCAGAGACTTGGAGGCCTGGGCAGAAAAGGGCAGAGCTGCTTGTTTTCGTTCTGCCTGGGGGAGGAAAATTCATTAAATGAGCATGAGAGCTGCAATTAGCTGCCTGCCACYTCCGGCTCCTCTCCCGGCCTGTTGCTTGTGCCCCCTCGCGCTGCYGGATGTGTTAGACTCCATGCACGGGGCAGTTGCAGGGGTCGTGTCGATGGCTTCGTTGGCACCACACGCTTGCACAGCCCCGCACCATGGCAGGCGCAGGGACAAACCTGCACGATTCAGTCCAAACCATCTTTGGACTGAGAAAAAAATGCATTTTGGGTGCCTGGGCTGCATGAGCCCCCAGGGAGCGTCTGCTGCCACCCAGGGTCCCTCCTCGCTGCCGGGTCGGCTCCCTGAGGCGCAGAGCCCGCCTGGGCAGGGCGGCCCTGCTCGCTGCATGGGCACGGGGACGCGGTGGCACGGAGGTGGCACAGCAGGCAGGGCATCCTTGGGGCTTCCTTCCTTCCCTCCTTCGCAGCCTTGGGGCCCCTTTCCAGGCAGCTGAGTGGTGCTGCTGCCCGCAGCACGGGGCCATTAGAGGTTTGCTCCTTTAAGGCAGGAGCGCTGTATTTATAGCCTCTCCCGCAGCCAATAGCCACTATGGAGAGCTCTCTTAAAAGTGCAAATTCCAACCATTAATAGGGCAAATAAAGATGTATGGGCCGAAGTCTGGTGAATTAGGGACTCATTATGTTGCAAGAAACAAAGCTGTGGGCAGAGGAGGGCTGACAGCAGGGACCRGCGGGGCAGGTTGGTGAATCTCTCCTGCTCGAGGGAGGGCTGGCAGCACCGGCAGCAGCTCCACTTTTATTAGATTAGCCACGTTTCTCCGTGTGCCTCAGCCTGTAGCTCCTGAATCCCCTGGCGGCCCTCGCCAGCTCTCTCCCCTTCTCTCCCGCTGTTTCCCCCATGCCAGGGATGTTATTTGCTGGAGAGACCATTTGTGGGAATGCAGTGGGGCAGAATTTCACCCACCTTTGTGCTTCACTCACCCTCATGCTAAGCGCTTGTGCTTTGCTGCTGCCTGGATGTTGCTGGTGACGCTGCGAGAGGTCCCGTCCAGGTCTGGCCCTGGAGCCCGTGACGAGGCGCCCGGGTACAGCACAGAGCTGCAGAGCAGAATTGCTGCTGCCCTGGGCTAACCCTCCCCGGGGTCCTGTTTTCTTGTTCTTTGGCCAGCAGCAACCAGAGGCCTGGGCAGCCTCCTGCCCGCACGGCATCTTCYGGGAACTGGAGCTCTGCACCGGGAAGGCAGGCGCGGGCAGCGGGGCCGCCGGGGCCGCTCTCACCCTCTGCCTGCTGCTGCCCAGGCACCACCGACCGCGCTGGGCACCGGGCGGCTTCACCCAGGGTGCTGCTGCACTCACAGTGCTGCAGCCCTCCTGACCCGTCGGCCCACGCCAGGAGGTGGGAGATGCCCCTCAGCACCTCCAGCAAAATTAGTTCTCCMGCAAAGGAAATCCGCAGGTTTAGCTGCGTGGTTGCGGCGGCCGCATCCTCCAACACGGGGAGCTTTGTGCTGC